ATGCCATGTCTGGGCTTGGACCAGCAGGTCCCACTGGTGCAGGTAGCAGGAAGCTCTCCCACAAACTCACCGGGCCTGGGCTAGGATGCTTATTTTTCTTACCTGAATTTTTTTAAATTCATATAGGATATAGCCAGAATAGTATAGTTTCAAATTGTTAAATTCTGCCGCTCTTTTAAAATTTCATCTTTACAATATTTCTCTTTTATTTTATTATGTTTATGGAGTTGAGAAAAAGCATGCAGTTCTGAGTGATCTGTTGCTTAGATTTCTTCTGTTAAATGTGCTATGTTGTCATTCTTATATTCTGGCCTCTCTTTGCCTTTCAGTCAATATTTATTTAACTTTTTTCATCTTTGTAACAAAGATAGTGTTAGCTTCAAATATCTCATTTATATGTGAGAGTTCACAGAATTCTTTTGCCATCTTTTTTTAAACTAATATTCTTTGTCCATTTTGTATCTGTGTATTCAAAATGGTTAGGATAGATATATAGTTACATTTTGTTAATAAATAGATGGATTTGTTCTAATAGTGTTTGTAAATAGGATATCATGTCTGTATCTTGTACAGCAACTAACCACTAGGAAAAATGTATGCAATGTGTTGATTATTGAAACTGTCCTACCAATTTGGTTTGAAACTGTCTCATTGCTATTTGTTTCTCAATAAAATTATGGAAAAAAGAAAAAAAAACTAATATTCTTATTATGATCACATTAGTAACCCTAAATACTTTCTGGCTTGCACTGTATCCCTGGTTATACTTCAACAGGCTTGTTCATGCCTGTTTTGAACATTTGCAGTGTTCTAGATTCTTACTAGATTTTTCTCATCAAGTAATTAAAGCAACAATCAATTTCCTAGTTACAATCCTGCATCCATAGATTTTTTTTCTATAGTAATACTTTGTTTTTCTATATCATCTTTTGTCATTATTCATTTTGTGTTGATATAACAGAATAATGAGATTGTATTATTTGCAGTGGCCAAACATTTATTGGCTTACTGTGCCAGAGACTAGGAAGTCCAAGATCAAGGCACAGGCATTCTGTGAGAGATGTATTGCAACATCACCACACAAAGAAACCAGATATGAAAAGTGAGAAAAGGGAGATGAATTAACACTTTCATGCTAGCACTTGTTTCAGGGGTCAGAGAAGTCTTCTTTGCTTAATCCCCTCTGAAACATTCCATCCCTCAATATATATGGCAATTGCCTTTCGTTGCAAGTTTTACAGGAAATCAACCCTCAATCTACTGAAAATTGGATGCCTGATCTAATTATCTAATGAAAACACGTGAAAGCAAATCTAAGGGAAAACTGGGAGGGGAAGATAAATATTAAATGACATAATGGAAATATAAGAGGTAAGAGGTAGAAGAAAAGATGAAGTAAAACTAACTAAGATGTGTTGCACAGATGTAGCATCTCCGTTACGAATGTAATCATATGTACAGCACACACGTACTACTACAAAGAATAACACAGAGAGAGAAGTGAAACCAATTGATATGGGTTTTGCAGAAACTAATAGAGGAAATACAATAGAACATTGGTGACACTATAATTTAAAAGCTGAGAAACTCATATACATTTTCAAGATGATTTTTATGCAATTGATTCAATGTGCAAGCTCAAAAATCAAATACTAAGATTTAACTTATCAAGTATCAAAAAGCAATCCATGTTTAAAACATATACAGTGCTGTATTCCAAGCACAGCAATACACACACAGAAAAAATGTTAGTAACAAATAAAGTTGGAAAATCTAAAGGAGGAGACATGAAAGTCATGCTGAGAGTTTCTATGATGACAAACCTGTGAATGTAACTGGGTTTCTGCTTTTCCCACAGCCATGGACACTGCAGATGACAACACTGAGGAAGAGCTGCTGCAAAAGAAAAGGAAGCAAAATCTCAAAGAGATGCTGAAAACTGTGGGACTGGACACTGAGTTCTGGTTGCCCAAATTGAAAGATGACCTGTGCGTGACCTGTGCACAGGCATTGCAATACTTAGGAGAGGAAGACCTCCAGGTCCTGAAATCCCAGGTACAATACACATGGGAAAGAAAAGCCCTAGAAAAGCTGTTTGATTTGTCACAATCACACACTTACTCAGAGTTGCATGAGCCTCTAGTGGAGATGATGAACACAAGCCAGAAGCAAGCAGAAAAAAAACTAAAAGACCTGGTTTTAGAAGAAACACAGAGGCAGGCAGAGCCAGTGAGGAGAAAAGAAGCAGAGCTGAGGAAAGTAATGGAGATCCCTCAAGCCTTACAGCCAATGTCTGAAGAGCGCCTATGCCACGTTGTCGGAAATGCGCAGAGACATCTCAGTCCCATGCAACAGACCTTTTCCCACAGGCAAAATCTTTCAGACAGAGATCTAGTAAGATGGGCATCTGGAGGCCTTGTCCTTCAGGGAATTTACCAAACTGGCCAACACAGGGACCTGGTAGAGACAAGAGAAGAGCTAGTCAAAGTGCCCAAGGAATTCTCTCTCTTAGGACCTCAACAGAGCACACGGATGGAAACGAAAGAATTTACATCTTCTCAAGCAGAAACCATGTTCACTGAGAGTGTGGAGAAGCTGGGCTTCAGTGTAGCAGCTTCAGTCAGTGGTGGGGGATGGGGATTTAGTTTAGAAGGTGGCACAAATAAAAGCAAATATTCAGAATCCAAACAACTACATAAATCCCATTCTGAACACTCTTATTTTTGCTTAGCCAAGTTTAACTATGTCCCACTTGCCTGCTGTCACTTTCCCACCGATCAATTCCAGTTCTCTAAGGCTGCTCTCAAGGAACTGAAATGCATGGAAGACCTCCTGGATCATACTGCACCACCCTTGATGAGGCAAAGGGCTGAAAACTTCTTTCACAGGTTTGGCTCTCATGCTAACCAAGGACCTGTGCACCTGGGAGGTATTTACTGGTTGAAAGCAACTTCAGAGGGTTTCCAAAAGGAAAACCTAGAGAATGTCAAGCAGCAGGCAGCAGAGGCCCTGGACATTTACATAGGAGGCAGCTACAGTGGCTTTGGGGTGAAAGCTGCTGCAAGTCTGACTGTCTCGAAATCAGATTCAAAGAGTGTCTCTCAGAGGAAAGCTATTGGAAATAATCAGATTAATATCAAACTATCTGTGCACCAGACTGGTGGCCCGGCAGAGGCAGATGGCCTTCTACAGTGGAAAACTGGACTTGTTGCCAGAAATCAAACATGGTGTGTCATTGACAGGGGCTTTCAGCTGGTGCCAGTATGGGATATTATCCTTTCTAGCCATAGGGGTGATTTTAAGGATGCTCAAAAGTTGGCCAAATACATAAAAGACGACTACACTGTTCTGACTGGCCTCAGTGCCCAGACCCAATATGAAGTGGAATTACTCAGTGATGAGGAGAAAGCTAGAGTTTTCTTAAAGGACATAAAATCATGGAAAGTATTCAATCTTGAGGAACAGCTTAAAAAGCTAACAAATTTCATGCAAATGTTGTGTCAAAAAAGAATGGGTTATGACATTTGGATTAATATATGCCTGACAAATTGTGATCTACAGAGTTTCTTAGTAAATGCAGTTGACTTTTGCAAACAATCTTCTATTTCTGAAAATAAGTTTGTGAAGTCTCAGCTGCACACAATTCTATATCCATATGTGTTCAAATTGACAAACTTTCCTCAGGCTTACTCCATCATGAAGTGGATCCATGAGGCAGAGTCAAAGCAAGAAGATGCCAGCATCTCCCAATTTTCAGAATTAATTAAAATCCTAAAAGAAACTCTGAGTGACCTCTTGGAAGTAAAGGTCAAATATAACTGCCCAGAAACTGTGAAAGAGGCTCAACGAAATGTGACATACAAAGTTAGCGTGGCTCTTACATGCTTTTTGAATTACCTTAGAAAGACAGAGCAGACAGACACACAGCTCTTGTTACTTTCTATTGCAGCTGGTGCAGGATATGATCAGGCTAACAATACTTTTCAAAATCTCCTGGGTAGTGAGGAGTTAAATTTTCTAATGAATGAAATGGAAAATACCCAAAGTAAATACCAAGAGCTGAAAAATATTTGCACTCACAAGGCTCAGGCTTTCCTGGTTCTTATATGTCTGACAGCCTCAGCTGGAGTCACAGCTGTTTGTCCAGAAGAAAAAGCAATGCGAATGGCATTGATCATACAACACATGGGTGAATCTCTGTCCACAAAAGTTATGCATGTCCTCAGCAAACCTGGATTAGGTCACAATTGGGGAAACATGGAACAAGATTTGAGATTGATAATTGATGGGGATTATGAAGACACCAAATCATCTGTGAAAATAGACGAAATCAAAAAACAATTACAAAATCTCCTTGATGAACTGACAGACAAAGCAGATGATAAAGACAATGCTAAACAAGACGTGATAAAATACAGAGCCTTCCAAGGTTTACTGCAGCGTCTAGGCCTAGTACATTACTTCCCAAAAATGATGAGCATAGCTGACTTTTGTCTGTTCGACAAACCATTTTGTGAAACTCCACCCAGATCTCAACAGGATCTTCCACTCTATTTCCTACAGAAGCTACTAATGCTTGATTGCACGTTCAGATATGTGGTCTTCAGAGAAGAAGAAAACATAAAACTTGAGGCTTTTCCATGTGCTTCTGTCCAGGAAAATGAAGATCTATTTGCTGCTGGCAGTAATGCTATTACCCCTAAGCCCAGACCTCATATTCACCCGATGGATATCCAGATGGCAATTTTCCACTGTGCCAGTGACATTTCCAGACAATATATATTGGGAAAGCTTTCTATTTGTCAATTTGCCCTCCCCCTTTTGGTGCCAAACCCTTGTAATTCACACATTGAATTCTGTCTCTGGTGTCTCAGACAGATTAGGAGGAGTTGGAAGCATTCAGGTAGATCACAAGAAAGGTACAGTTTTCATAACCAGCAGATGTGTTGCATGGCCACATCCATTGTGTCCTTCATTAGAGTTGGAAATGGACTGTCTGCATCCAAATCTCTGATCATGAACTGTCTTCTCAGTAAACATAAACATGATGTGTTTTTTCACCGTCACTGCAAGGGAAGCAGCAAAGACTGTCTCCTAATGGGAGGTGTGGTGGAATTCTTCTGGTTCTGTCCTAGTGAAGAAGATGACAGATTTGACCGCTGTGTGACATTCACCAATCTTCATGGAGATGCAAAGGAACACAAGCAGCAACTTACTTTTCTGAAGGAGATTTCTTCTCTCATTGTGATCCTTATGTCAGTCTCTGATGAAAATGAAGAAAATAGAGATACTGTCTGCGACCTGTGGGATTCATCAGAGTCACCTTTGATCTGTTTGCTTGATGACAGAAAAAAGCAGAAGGCCAATACTTCTGGTAGAAAAGTAAAAATTGGCATCAGGAATAGAAATGAGGCAGACTTAACAAATGAGCTCACTGTTACAATAAACCGTTTGCTAGAGCTCAATGAAGCTGCTCTCAGCTTGGAAGACTGTTCTCACTTTGCTCGCAAGCAAGGATTCTTTATTGATGAGGACAGGAGAGTTTAAGGATGACAATAAAAGGTAGAGAGTTTAGTGGCCTTCCTGTGAGAAATGAACCTATTTCACATCAAAGTAAGTTCCATGCCCCTATAGGGAGAACTTTGGCATCTTCGGTTTAAGAAAGACAAATAAGTGTATCATCTAAGAAAGAAAGGGAACAGGAGAGTTGAACAACATAAGAGTGAGGCTGAGGAGGAAAAGCAAACAATAAGGCATCAATAGATGAAAAAATCATTACATCCCAAGGACTTAATTGTATCTTTTCTCCAAATTTTGTAACAACACTCAGAAACTCACATAAGCTTCTACTTTTTGCAATGGCTGAGTATGCTTCTGGAGAGCTTCAAAACAGGACAGTGAAAACACACACTCCCAGAAATGACTGCCAGACTCTTGGAATCCTCGGAAATGAGATATATGAATGCTAACTCTGTCCCTTTGTCCCCTCAAAGGGCTACAAACATAGTCTGTTTCAATTCAGATGAGTACAGCATCTAGACACCTGAGACAGAAAAATCACCAAGCATTTTCTTTTACAGTGTTGTTTCTCTTTGTTCTTTGAAAAATGGTCCTGGTGAGAGTTTTGGAAGGACTCCCAATGTGATATAACTGGACAGTGATGGGAACAGAACTTGTGCATAGCATGATTCCCACCTCTCACATCAGCGCAACCCAAAGAACTTTAACTGTTCAATGAATATTTGCTCAATGCTTTTAAAAAATTTAATGGATTATCAAAATATTTTAACTAAGATTTACCATGCATCCTATTACTTTTGATTTTCAAGACAAAATGTAATCAAATGTAAGAACTTTCAGACACACATGTGTAAATATCGTATAGTCTCCCTAGTATAAGAACTCCAAAGAAGAAATACA